TTTTTTTCTTTTTAAAAAAAATAAAATAAAAGAAAACCTCATAAAAGGTCCCTGGATAGTTAAATGACGGAAATACCATTCATTTAACGGTAGAAAACTAACAGAGTTAGCAAAAAGGACCAAACATTAAAAGTTTTGAAAACACAGGGACCATCTATGAGGTTTTTAAACCACGAGGACTAAACTTCAGATTTTGGGTAACCACAGGGACCATTTATGATGTTTTTTCTTTATACAATAAAATGACAGTTTTGTCATTACTTTGCATTTAATGTTCCATTAAATTCTTAGTTGGTTAAGTAATAATGAGGAAGTATTTTGGTAAAAATGTTATTTATTTTTAGAAGTTGACTATTATTTTGGGACAAACCAAAAAGGAAAGATGGACTATAATTTTGGGACGGAGAGAGTATTATTATTATTATTATTATTATTATTATTATTATTATTATTATATTAACAATTTTATTTTTTCTTTATTTTAATAGAATTTGTATAGATTTCTTATAGAATTATTTTTATTTTTTTTAAATTAGTTATTATACAAATTCTATTAAAATAAAGAACAAATAAAATTGTTATATAATAATAATAATAATAAAATTTGTTAAAAGAAAAAGAAAAAGAAAAAGAAAGGGTAAGTTAGTCTTTTTATATGAAGCAAGGACCAAAACTGCAATAATCATAAACTACAGGGATGCAACCTATCAATTTTTAAACTTAGGGACCAAAGCTGTGAATCTGACCAAAACACAAGGACCATTTCTGTAATTTACTCACCAATTAATTATTAGTAGTGAACAAACAAATAATCGTAAAGCAGAACTTTTTGTAGTACTATTATAGGGGTAATTACTAATCTAGCCAAATTAGAGAAGTAATTAACCATTTTTAGCCAAAAATTCGGAATTGTCCCAAAATAGTCCACGAAATCGTAGGTATTTAGTTTCGGCTACTGTTTCGCTAAAATTTCTACTGTTTCGTGTATTGTATAAAAAAAATCATTTTGAAGATATAAAACCGTAGATTTCTTTTTTTAAAACCTACGGTTTTCTCTCTATAAACTACGGTTTCCCAAACCGTAGGCTACAATTTTGGGATAAATCTACGGTTTCCCAAACCGTAGGCTACAGTTTTGGGATAAATCTACGGTTTCGTATGAAAACTACGGTGTACAAGTCCACACTGTACAATATGTGCATTGTGGACTTGTATACCGTATGTTTCGTATGGAACCTACGGTT